CAAAATAATCATTATGTCTAGACTATGTCCATTAAGATGAAATTCTTATTATTTAAACTTTTCCTTGTAACGTAGGTTATTATTGACATGCAGTTTGCAATGCAACGATGAATGAAACTGTAGTAGGTATAATGCAATTTGACTGCACGGTTGGCGCGGTGGCTAGGCAACTGGCTGCCGCGCAACGTGTCACGGGTTCGATTCCCGCACGGAACAACTCTTTGTGTGATCCACAGATTGTTGTTCCGGGTCTGGGTGTGATGTGCATGTCAAATTGTATGTTTGTAAACGCACCCATGGCACAGGAGAAAATCTTAATGTGGGGCAACGTTTTATAAAAAAAAAGAAAAAAAAATCATGTTCGACGCAACTAAGTATGTATTTCATTAACAGTCCGTTAGTTAGGTAATGATAAAATAATAGATTCGTTCTTTTTTACTTATACAAAACAAATCTAAGTTAAGAGTTGTTAAGGGCGCTTGTGCATGGTACACCATCACAGACAGAGCCCCATAGAGCTGCACGTCGATTATATAAAATTTGTTTGATTTTGAATCTTGTTCGAGTGCGAAGTGAGCGTCGAAGTGACGGGGAAATTAAATTTTAGAATGCCACTTTTTACGTCATCTCATACTAATTTATCTATCAAAATGTTGCGGTCAATTTAGTTCAACTCGCAAGTGCAGCGCTAGTGTACTACTTCTCACAGCGGATTCAGATTCGAAGTTTAGAATGAAGTCTTACAGAATCACACCACTGGCCTTGGAACAGGAGAAGGAACGGGACAGTTTTAAGTCAGTAAGAGTCTGACACTCCCTTTCAATCGAATGTCTTGGTGGCCCAAAGGTTAAGGAGCCCGCTTCTCACGCATGAGGGTTTGGGTTCGAAGCCTGGCAAGTACCAATGTGACTTTTTCCGAGTTATATGTACTTTCTATGATTATTTAGATACCACTGCCATATGGTGAAGGAAAACATCGTGAGGAAACCTGGACTTATAATTTCTAATTATAAGTTTGAAATCGCCAACCCGCATTGAGCAAGCGTGGTGATTAATGATCTAACGTTCTCTGTGTGAGAAGAGGCCTGTTGACGATGATGATGACTCCCTTTCACCTTTCCTTGGATGGAATTTGATGACTTTTCTCCCACAGGAAAGCCTATTGTGGTCCGGTGCGGGTGTCCTTACAGGGCATCACTAAAATATTTTAATGGACAGTGTTAGTGCTTTATCACATAATTCAACCTGCTCCAAGAATAATAATATGCATGGATGTAAAAAATGTAACATTACACCTTAACCATAAAGATAAGAATTTAATGTATTAAAAAAAAACTATCTAGATTCTAGATTAGCATACCAGATAAACTTAATTAAGAACTCAGTTAAGATATATCTACCTACTATTTATGTACCTACCTATTTTTTCCTCTAATTTATTGATTGACAAAAATTCATATGTAAATGTGTATTTAATTAATAAACATTATACATATTTAAGATTATTCACGATGACGATAACCTATCGTTTCGTCACGTGTTTGTTCTAACCGTTTTTTTTTGTTTTTCTTATAATATAGTAATTTCAAATCTACTTTTTAAAAGTGTGGGAGAGTCAAGCTTTGGCACGAATGGGTCGACTCAACCGGACCGATACCATGGCTTCACAGAAAACGGCGTGAAACAATCACAGCGTTGTGTTTCGCCGTGTGAGTGAGGTTACCGGACGCCCCATCCCTCCTCCTCCCCTATCCATTCCCAATAAATATCCGAAACTCTTATCCGTAAAAGGCCGGCAACGCACTCGTAACTCTTTTGGTGTTGCGGGTGTCCATTTGCGGCGCCGAATGCTTACCATCAGGTTATCCGTGACCTCGTTTGCCAACGTATCCAAAAAAATATAAACTAAACATTTTTGAATAGTAACTATTGTGAGAAAAACTAAGACTAGATTTAAGATGCGCATGCACGCCGTTGTCATTCGACACTAATAAGCTCTAGAACTACTATATCGAATAAAAAAAAAGTTTAGTGTTAGTTGAATAATTGATCGAAAAAGACCATCCAAACTAATATTATAATTGCGAAAGTATATCTGTCTGCCTATATTTTCTTCACGCCTAAACCACTGAACCGATTTCTGTGAAATTTGGTATAGACATTGTTTGGATCTCGAAAAAGGACATTAGGATAGTTTTTATACCAAAAATCTGCAGGAAGTCACTTGCCAAGCTAACGGAGTCGCGGGCAAAAGCTAGTAGACTATAACATGTCACACTATGATCGATAGAATCTGCGCGTGTATAATACCTAAGTATTTTATAAACCTACATACCTCATATATACTACATTATAATGTACTAGGTATAAAAATTCGACTCACGTCATGACCACAATACGGAAAAGTATATCCTTAGTGCTCAAATGCAGGTTACAGTTTTTTGTTTCCAGTCTATCTAGTTTTTTTTTTTGTAAATAATATCTACATACTCTAATGACTACATTAATACAATTAACACATTGATTTCATTGAAAAAATCTTTATCTAAAGTGGCGCTTGATAAGAAACTGTGCCAAATTACATGTAGGTGCTATTTAACGCGGAATAGGTAGTAATTGTAATGAATAAACATTAATTATTTATATTTAAACATTAAATACTAAAATAGTAAACAATACACGGCTTTTACTATTAAAGCCGGTTCGAACACGTCGCTGTCCAGAGCTGTCCTCCACTGTTTGCTCCACCGTGTCCCCTGGGTGGTCCTCATCATGACGACACTTGAGCTTTTCGAATCCGGAACAGAAACCTACCAAAGCTGCTGTGCTCGGTAAGCACCTGCGTCAGGCGGAAGGTGAGGACGCCATGGCGTCTCTCAAGCAAGTGTGGGAGAGCCATGCTTCGGCACGAATGGGTCGGCTCGACCGGAGTGATACCACGGCCTCACAGAAAACCGGCGTGAAACAACCACAGCATTGTGTTTCGCCGTGTGAGTGAGGTTACCGGAGGCCCAATCCTTCCCCACCCCCAATCCCTCCTCAATCCCTAAATCTCCAAATCCCTAATCCCTAAAAGGTCGGCAACGCACTCATAACTCCTCCGTGGCGGGTGTCCATGGGCGGCGCTGATTACTTACCATCAGGTAATCCGTCTGCTCGTTTGCCGATCTATTACATAAAAAAAGCCACGCCTTAAAGAGTGGACTTACCGCTGCTATAACAGCGTGCACGAATGATACGATCGTGACAAATAGTTGAAATTTGAACTTATTATAATAGTATCGTTTTCTTGCTAAAAACTAAATAAAATAAATATTTAGAGGGGGTCGGACAGTAAACGTGATATTGATACGGCAAAGGTTCCGTATCAATGTCACGTGTATGCATATTTTAGGTAAATGTATGTAAATTGTCCTACCTACTTTCAAGAAACATGTTAATGGATTCTTTTTTTGTTGTGACTGCTAATTAACAGGATAATGTTATGTAATATTAAAATGTGATGTGATTTTAATAAATATTCTTCTGTCTCTTGGGCTAATGGCCTATATCATAAATCTAGTGTACCAATGCATAATTTATAAGTGAAAAAATATACTATAGGTACCTACGAGATTATAAAAGTTTTATATTATATTTAATTACCTCTACCATAAAATTTGTTTGTTCCTTTATAATTGATAGGCCGTTGTTTTATTTCCATTCGAGTTTATCTGCGGCTGATTATTCGACTTGGATTTAGGCAAACGATATCTTAAGTTCATAAATAGTTTCCGACTAAAGCTTCTTTATGAATTGCCAAAATCAATTCGATGATTTCATCTGCCCTAAATGGGGCGAGAGAGAGTTTCAGATTCTTTATTTACAAATAAACCTAACTTAATTCAAAATTAAAAAAAGAACCCCGACACCAAAACATAAGCTACATTTAAAAAGTATATTATACAAAAAAAACTTAATTGAAATCGTTTCAACCGTTCAGGAGCTATGATGCCACCCGTGGATGCCACAGACAGCAGACAGACACGTCAACCTTATACTTAATACCCCTCTTTTTGCGTAATTTCCTTTGATTCCTTCTCCTGCTCCGGACCTTGCCGCGGTACATAATTACGGTTTCACGCGAAAATCTGCTTTGATATCAGTTCTAGTGGGCTCTGTGTGTAGACTGATGGATTACGGTGGCCCTAGATCGTCTCCTGCATTACTGGCTGCAGATGCAGTTTTACCGGTGTTTACTGCGGAATATTGAATTATTACAGCTGAATTATTTTATGTGCTGGTAATCAAAACTGTTGTGGTTCTTCCCCAAAAGACCACTACAAAATAAACTTGCACGGTTATCCCACATTATTTTTATTTGTCTGGTCTTTTTAAAGAGACTGTGGCTCTGGGTTTTTTCTTCTTGAGTATTGAGATAGGGAATACCAGCCTGATCTCGTGAGTTTGATAGAAATGTTAGAATTTTACTAACTTAAAACGACCCTGTTCCTTCTCCAGCTCAAGGCCGGAGCCGTGGTACGGTCAGCTGCAGAGAAATGAACCCTCTCTAAAGTACAAATATGTATGCAGCTATCTGCTTAAGGGGATCCTTTTCTCTGCAGCTGAGTGTACAAGCAACTCTTGCTGGATGCTCCTGACGGCCGACTGCAAATGTTTAGGAATAAAGTAGCAATGCAAACACAAAAGAAGAAGAAAAATAATCTCCTGATCTGTTATCTATACTCTATACTAATATTATAAAGAGGTAAAATTTGTAAGTTTGTTTGTAGGGGGTAAGCTTTGGAACCCCTGGTCGGATTGCCAAAATTCTTTCACTGATAGATAGCTACAATGTTCCGGAGTGCTTTAGGCTATAAAACATCACGCTCAAATGGAGCTGAGCGGGTGAAATCGCGCGAGAGTAGCTAGTTAGTTAATAAATCACCAAATGTAATGGATGCAATGTAAAAAAGCATGTCAACATGCATTTTTTAATCTTACTCCTTTTCTTGTTTCAGCAACTGGCGCTGACTCCCAACTCCAGGTCGTTCCGTACATGGGTGGCGCCAACAGTTCCTTTGTTCTTCGATATTTACTTCTTCAATTGGACCAATTCTGAAAAGTTTCCTGAAGAGAAACCGAATTTAGTGCAATTAGGTAAGTTATTCTGGATCTGATAGAGTTTTAATGAAAATCCAAATTTATTTTAGAAGTAACATCCAACCGGTTGCGATATCCTAATCCCCTCTAAGTACTTATCTCAAATTACCTTTTACCTCACCTTTTTCTGCAACACAACAAAATAAGAATTGGCAAAACTAGTCCAGACGTTTCTGAGTTTTCCTGCCAATAAAGAACACAACAAAGTAAGAATTGGCAAAACTAGTCCAGGCGTTTTCGAGTTATGCGCTTACCGACATGTGGCTATTCATTTTTATATTATAGTTGCAATATTTATTAACTTATCTTTTAAGCAGTGTTCGATTAGTCTCAATTCACGACAACGGCTCATAGCCCTTTATAGAATCGGCGAGTAAGGGCAGCTCGCTGCCCGACCCGAGCGTACGGCGCGTAGCGTTCCGCGCGCGCCTCAAAGAGCCAATAGACCACCACAGACGGGGCCCTAAAGGGCTGATGTTCAGCCGGGGTTGCGGGGTAAGCGCAATGAGGCACCGCGACCTCGGCACAGAGCAGGAGAAGGAACAGGGGGGTTTTTAGTCAGTAAGAGTCTGACACTCCCTCCCGCCCGGCCCTGGGCGGGAGAAGTCATTTGATGATTTTCTCCTCACAAAAAAAGCCCTTTATAGAAGTCTCGAAGAGTACATGTGATTTTTTATTATTCAGGAGACAATTCCTCCAATGGCTTTTCTCATTCTTACTGAATAAAAGCCAGCTCGTTCCTCCCCCTGTTCTGAGTTGAGGCCGCGGCACATTGCACCCTCGGCTGGATACGTGGGTTTTAATGTACTTAATCTAATTCTAATTTTTATTATTAATATTATAAAGCTAAAGAGTTTGTGTGTTTGTTTGAACACGCTAATCTCAAAAAATACTGGTTCGAATTGATAAATCCTTTTTGTGTTTATAGGCTATTTATTGGAGGTTGAGGAAGGTTTTAGGATATAAAACATCACGCTGCGATCTATAGGAGCGCGTGAAAGTGACTAGTTTATATTAAATTGCGAATTAGTGAATTCTGTTCCCATAGAAGAAATGTGTTGTGACGTCACGTCACCGAGGGCGACGCGAGCTTACACATGACGCTTTTTCTTCCTATTTTTTTATTTTATTCATTTGTACTTTTTTACGAACTATAAAGTAAAAATAAGGATACAACATTCAATAGAATATAAATTACTTAATAGGTATTCGAATAATTCGATTATTTATTATAATTTCATAAACACGTGTAGGTCCTTAAACATATTTGGTCTGGCTTTTCGAATTAAAAGCAATCTGAATTGAATTGAGAATTCTGAGAGACTCATAAATGTAGTTGTTTTTAAGTATAATAAAATATTTTTATTGTGTTTTTAAATGTTTATTATATGTTATTTATGCCTTTATGCATAGCCGTTCCTTATTCGTAGACATTTTAGTCTATATTTATTTATTCTCTGATATGACTTGCATAATATATCAATTGGTAATAATTATAATAAAACAATTTATATGAATTTATTTATTTATTCGTCTTGCAAAATAAATTATTTCATAGTTATTACTTATAAAATGTCATTATAATTCAAACCGGTACCTAGGCGATAAGTTTAAAGCTGAAATTAATACTTATTATTACAAAAAAGCCCCTCTCGTTAAGATATTTATCGTTATTTTTTTAATAATTGACTTAATATTGAATAAAAAATTATTCAAATAATGCCCATCACGATTATTATCAAGAATAATTAATAGATTTTTTCTGCATTTTATACATAATCATTCATATATTTTTTTTTGTTACTGAAAAAATAATTTACGCGTTTAAAAAAAATCAAAGGACATTAATATTTAGAAACGGATAGTAGTTTTATTTTAATTTACATAATCACCTATCTAAGCTGCTGTATGTACCAATTTTTTAATTCTTATTTATTCTAAACTAAGAGGTACTTTTATTGTTTAAGGCTGAAGACGTGGTGGCAGGTTTTCTAATACATTTCATGTTGAATTTGGGGATTTGGTGATTTAGGATTTTGAATTTGAGATGCGATAGGCTCAGCGAGACATAACTCAAACATTGTTTTACGCCGGTTTTCCGGTGAAACACGCCTATTTTTAACGAAGCGTGTATCTCATTGCCTATTTCATTTTACGATGAATATGTATTTATACAACTGAATTGTGATTAAAGTCTTCTATGGTATATTTTCAGGTCCATATCGGTTCCTGGAGAAGAGAAAGCACGTGAACGTGACATGGCATGATAATAACGGCACGGTGGCGTACAGGACACAGAGGAGCTGGTTCTTCGACGAATCCTCCTCCAATGGAACTCTTCAAGATAACATCACCACCCTGAATGGCATTGCTGCTGTAAGTATATTATTTTTATTAACTAGCGGCCCGCCCCTGCTTCGCACGGGTCCAACTATTTCGCTATCAAAGGGTCACTTTTTCCTAATTTCCTGTCCACTTTTCTAATATTTTTTTTATATGAACCTTCTCCCGCAAACCACCATACAGAGCACCATACTGATGGTAGGTAATCAATTAATTTTTAGTGTGTCAGAGTCAAGCGGAGTGATACCTCGGTCTTGCAGAAAAACGGCGTGAAACTACCACAGCGTTGTATTTCACTGTATGAGTGAGGTTACCGGAGGCCCAATCATATCCTATCCATTGCCCATCCCCATCCCCATCCCTCCCTTCCCAATCCTTAAACATCAAAACCCCTCATCCCAAAAGGTTGGCACAGCACTAATTCGCCCGTACACGCTAATCTCCAAAACAACTGTTTTGAATTGGATAATGATTATCTTTGTGTAGTTGGTTACAAAACATCACCCTACAACCAAAAGGAGCCGAGTTGCTAGTGAAAAGGGGGATTTTGGGATATCAAATGATCCACTTTCAATTATAATTAAGACAAGAAATATTAACGCTACATTAAATTAACAACCAAATTACTCTTTTCATTACAGTCAGCAGTATACCGCTCCAGATTCTGGGGTTTCCTCCAACAGAAAGGACTGGCTATGGGTCTGGCGATGTTCAACCAGAAGATAGCTATCTCCAAGCTGGCCAGGGAACTGTTGTTCGAAGGTTATGATGATCAGCTGCTGAATCTGGCTAAAAGTCTGCCATCAAGCACTACCGGAGGAGCCCCACCTGTTGACAAATTTGGATGGTTCTATGAGGTGAGGAATCTTCTTTCTTAAGTGCTATTAAGTATCTTCTTGGCATTCAATACTGTTTAGATGGTGCAAGAGCTGGGCAACTGACTGCTACGTAAAATGGCGGTGGTTTAATTCCCGCACGGAATAACCCAATTTGTGATCCACAAATATTGGTTTGGGACTGGGTGTGACGTTTGTATACCGTGTATGTGAATTATTCGTATTTTTACAAATGCACCCAAAACATAAAAAGATCCTATAATAAGGCAGAGTCTATTTTATGACAAAAAAAGATTATATAAAAAAAGGGAGAAGAAGTATTATCACAATATTATTATAATTTGAACAAAAGTATTTCGAAGTCAAACTTGCCAGTTTTCTACTGTTTACTAATGTGCTAGAAAAAGCACATAAATAAATTACATCCCGAAAAAAAGGAAAAAGAAATATCCAAATCCAGAAAACGTGTTGTTAAACCATTTAATCTCATTCGATACGTAGGTAACAAACTAACGAACTTGATCTGTGATTCCAGAGGAACAACTCCTTGGATACGGACGGCTACATGGAGGTGACGACAGGGAGGGCAGCTGGTACCCTCCCCGGACAGATCATGAGGTGGAACTATGAAGACCACATCCCGTATTATGAAGGAGATTGTGCTCAAGTAAGTTTTGTTATTGATGTCACATAAGGGATTGACGGACATAAAAAAATATTTAAAAAAAACTTTTAGTATAATTTTGTTTCAATGAGACCTTAAAGTATTTAGGTAATTGTTGTACTTATTTTGCTCTCACCTAGACGCAAATTCAGGTCAACTAACCCAACATCACAAACTCTTTATTGTTTCCCATAAAAGTCTACAGATGAGCCTTGTTTTGGATCGTTTTATAGCTTAAATAACTGACTAACAGTGAGATTATCAAGGATAAGTACTTCATATTCAACGAAGAATTATATTTTTAATGAATATTTAAAATCCGCCTAACATCTAAGATCAGAGTTATTGATAGTTTACGATGTTTGGCGATTGATTGGTCTACTCCGAGTTCACCAACAATCCGAGTTAACCAATCAGAGGGCTAAACGGGGAAAGGTTTCCATGGCGTTAACGCAAAAACAACTCAGGACCTAGCTTTTTATTTGTCATCGGGCTACTTGAATTTGTTGTTACTTTGCCTCGTTGTCTCATAACAATGTTTTGCTCATAGGGTCCATAATAGATTTCTTTTTTTATACCACCCTGGAAATGCAATGAACAGTTGAGTATTGAGTATCAGGTTGTAATATTTATAGCGATTGAGAAAATAACTTACAATTTTCCAGCTGACTGGCAGTGCAGGGGAGTTCATGCCTCGTAACCTGACGGAGGACTCTGTGTTGCCGATGTTCGTGCCGGACCTCTGCCGGACAGTGTACATGGAGTACGTGGACACAGGAGACCAGGACGGGTTGACCTACAATAAGTACGCGCTCACACAGAGGAGTTTTGACAACTGTGAGTATTTTTGTGAATTTAAAGAAATGGAAATGTACAAAAAATTTTTTTAATTTGAAATGTGAAATTAAGAATTTTTTTTTATTTTAATTGATAGTTGTAATCTTTCACGGAATCGGATCATTTTTGTTACTTGAAGTGTGAGAGTGAATTGAGGATTCAAGAAAACTCTATTTTTAGTTTTCTCTGCACTGGCACTGGAGAGTATTAATGAATTTTCACACAAATCAAAATTTTAAGTACAACATCTTCTTTTATATTTCGTTCTCTTCAAACCATTATATTTATATTAGCTACTTCCACGCAGTTTCTCTTTTTTTTATTATTCTTTATTTATTTAGGGACATTTATAATCACTATGGGTATGTCAGTCCCATCGTATCCTAAATATATACATTCTGCTCATATCAAGGCCATGAATCTAAACAGACTCTTCGCATCATCGCTATTCGGTTTCGATAAAATGTTGTGGAATGTTCCTACTTCAAGTCTGTTCAATTTCAAGACCCTAAACAAGTCATTTCTCTCAGGCTCATATCGAACACATTCCATCAATAAGTGGTGCAGGTCTTCAACAACTCCACACTGTACACAGTTGGGCGAATTCGTTTTCTTCATCATGAAAGCAAACTTATTACATGGAATGTGTCCAGATCTGAGTCTGTGAGCTATAACAACAAATTTCTCTTGCTGCCCGCCTCTTTTTACCCGACTGCCAAAGAAGGAGGGTAATGTTTTTCGAGTGTATGTAAGTATGTATGTATATGTCTTTTCCTTTGTGACCTCCTGTAGCCTAAACGGCTTGATGGATTTTGATGTATGAGGTATCGTTAGATTTGTCTTGATTACGGGAGTGTCATAGGATACATTTTATCCTAAAAGTCCCACGGGATAAAGACATAATAATATTTTTTCTAAATTTCCCTTTAAAAAAATATGTATGCGGTATCATTAGATTCATTTCAATCACGGGAGTAATTAATATAGGATACGTTTTTTCTCAAAATTCCCACGGGAACATGTTAATTCTGCGTCAACGCAAAGCAACTCTTGCGTTAGCAAGCAAAAAGATAGGGCGTGGCCTGGCATGCGGCGCGCGGCGCGGTGCGGAGGGGGATATGCTCGAGTATACACCATTAAATGAATGGGCCCCATCTGACTTGGATCGAATTTTATTAGCTGGTAATACATATTTCAACAGGTGCATGTCACGACTTGCAAACAGACCGCAATTTCGTTAAATAAAAACAGCTAAAAAGTTATAAATAAAAAAATTATTATTAAAAAAACAAAATACCCGACTGCACACTAAAAAAAGAGTAAAACAAGCCCCACAATACAAATTTACTGAATATAATTTATAAATGTTGATGGAAAGCATCGCAGGCGGGGACCACCTTGACCGCCACCAACGAAAATTCTGCTAAATGGTGCACAACAGAAATGACTATAAATAAGCCTCTGTTGGTCCCCGCCTGCGATGCTTTCCATCAACATTTATAAATTATATTCAGTAAATTTGTATTGTGGGGCTTGTTTTACTCTTTTTTTAGTGTGCAGTCGGGTATTTTGTTTTTTTAATAATAATTTTTTTATTTGTTGTAGAGTGAGCTTTTTGCCATGTTTTAGTCTCGACAAATGGACTATCCAAGAAGAAAGTAATAGTAATTACGGAGATTACCGCGTTCAAGTAAACACATTCTTGAGCTTTTTTTATGTAATGTCGGCAAACGACCAGGCGGATTACCTGATGGTAAGCAATCAGCGCCGCCCATGGACACCCGCAACGAAGAAGTAAAGAGTGCGTTGCCAACCTTTTAGGAAGATTAGGGATTTGGAGATTTACGGACTGGAAAGGGATGGGAAGGGGAAGGATTGGGTCTCCGGTAACCACACTCACACTGCGAAGCACAACGCTGTGGTTGTTTCATGTCGGCTTTATTATTTAATTATTACTTATAATTGTATTTTTTTCTCTTTCCAGCATCAACTTCTCCATCGAACACATGTTTCTGCAACGGGGAGTGCGCTTGGAGTGGCGTGATGAATGTGTCAGCGTGTAGATTCGGATCTCCCGCCTTCATGACACTCCCTCACTTCCTGCACGGGGACCCTCAGCTAAGAGAGATGGTGACTGGCATGCAGCCAGATCCTGACGCCCATTCCTTTTACTTTGCTGTTGAACCTGTGAGTATAAAGATTTATGTAAATTAAAGGAGTTGTAGTTTGGGTGTGTTTTTTATGGAATAGGAGGCAAACGTGTAGACGAATCACCTGATGGTAAGTGATCAGCGCCGCCCATGGACACCTGCAACACCAGAGGAGTCACACGTGCGTTGCCGGCCTTTTAGGAAGAAGTACGCTCGTTTCTTGAAGGTTTGAAGGTCGTATCGGTTCGGGAATACCACAGCCGGAAGATCATTACAATTCAATTCATTGTGTTAGTACGAGTAGTTGTAAGTTGTGGTGGCCCAGAGGTTAAAGCGGTTCTCAAGCATAAGGGTGCGAATTCGAAAGGGAAGGGCTTGGGAAGGGCTTTATCCCTTCCCAAGAGTCTGTCTCATGGAGCGATTGGGCTTCCGGTAACCTCACTCACACGGCCTCAAGCAAACGTTGGTACCGCCAGGGTTTTTTTAAGCTTACAAATGTACCGCGGCCTCAGCCTGGAGCAGGAGAAGGATCGAGGTTTTCCTCTCAAAAAAGGCTTTTTGGTTCATAAACCCTTTATGTTGGTTTCGATTGCATGGATATCTAGTATAACAATTATATGAGTATTTTGTCTTTTGTTTTAGAAACTGGGAGTCCCGTTGGATGTTGCTGCGAGATTCCAGCTCAACATATATTTAGAGCCGAGTGAGAATGTTGGGTAAATTTTTATTTACATATATATTGAAATTAGCTTCCGCTCGCTGCTTGGCCCGCGTGGCATGTTGATAAAAAGTAGCCTCTATTCTATTCCGGAGTGTATCCTATGCCTGTAACGAATTAAAACGTTTTTTTTTGTTCACAGTCTGTATGAAGATGTACCCAGGATGCTATTTCCAATATTCTGGGTAGAACAAAGAGTGAGAGTGGAAGACGATGTCATAGCCGAGCTGCGGCTAGTGCGTGCCATCTTTGATTGGGGCGGCACTGTCTGCGCCTGCGCCGCGCTCGTCTTCGCAATACTCGTTACCATAGCAACGTGTTGGGCGAGAAAACCACACCAGATAAAGAAGGAATCTATGTTCGAAAAGCCGAAAGACGAAGCCGAATTAAAGCTCAACCCTATATGAAATACTTTATTTTTTTTAAACTCAAATATGGAATGTAGATCTTTAAAAGGTCGAGAGCTCCAACGTATCGTTGGAAAAGTGCTAAAGTGATGGCATTCGTCAGTGCACCAAAACGTCACGAATTTAGTGAAATGATATTTTTTTGTTTGTGAAAAAGTGTATGGATTCTTATTTTGTAAATATAATTTTATTTAAGAGGAATTAGATGAGCATCCGTGTGTGGATGTTGACGAATTGATTTAGGTAAGACGTAGGAATAGTTTTTTGTACAGTGAATTGGTATGATTGAATTCATTGATCGCAATCTTATTACAATAAAACAACATAAAGATTTAATAGTACATTATATTACAAGTGTGTAATGTTGGTGATCACCGCTGAGGCGCATTGAGTCGATTGACTAAGTCTTAAGGAGCCGAGGACGGTAATCATCAATAAACACGTGTATCATTCGATGTTTTTCAACACACTTCTGAATAAAGTAATTCTTAAATAAATAACTTGAAAAAGAAAACGAGAGGAGCTGTGAAAAATGTTTTTGTAATGGCGGGAAAAAACCATCAGTTTTACAATGCGCGCGCATTGCCATAGACTAAAAAAGAAGATTCTTTTTTTGGGCTTTTCGCGGATAAAATGTTGGCGCAAGTGTGAGAGTAACTCGACCAATAATATAAAAAGTATATTACTCACTAGTGAATTATACTAATGAAAAAGTCACAGTTTGAGAATAGGTGTCATTATTAAGTGTGTTGAAAAAAATATATAAAAGATTATTTTGTTATTACATGGCACGTTACAACACTATTAGAACTCCGTCCAAGGCTAAAATATGCTTGGTCTATTAGCATAGACCAATATTTCAAATTTCGAATTACAAATTTTAAATTTAATTTCATTGACATCATTCTAAGTATGACGAGGCAAAAGATTAAACAATATAAAAAAAGAAACTCATTTCTTTTTAAATTATCTTCATTGAAATATAAAAAAATTGCATATTTCTTGTCTATAACATTATTTATAATGTTTGTTGATATTTGTTGATAGAATTTTACTCAAAATAAAACCATACGATGGTTTTATTTTGAGTTAAATAGTAGGTATAGAAAATGAGTAATCTATGCGTATCAGAATGTACTGTGATATTATGAAAAAGAGAGTTTGCTAAAATATTGCCATTTTAGATTATGAATAGTAGGTAAATACAATTATTATCACAGATACTTTTGAATTAGTTCTAAACTACCGTAAATTTTGGTCATTATAAAGTTAACTTTAATCATGATACTTCAATGTTTTGGCGCCTAAAACTATGAGTGACGCCATGGCAGTTTACAATTTTATATTAAGTTCTAATTTTACTTTTTAAATATTGGTTTATTATTTGTGATAATAAGTGTATTTGAATAAGTTTAATTAAATAAATAATATTTGTATGCAATAATAGATACAGACCAAAGAAATTTTGTTTGTTTTTCTTTAGTAAGTAGAAAATATTATCAATATTTAATGTTCCCCGTATCATTCCAATAATAATATAATTTATAAAATAAAGCTCATCAATTTTGTGATAAATGAAGATATTATTACTTATTAATACGACAATACATGTAATATCAGAAAATATAATGATTTTTATTCTTAGTTTAAAACATATTATGGTTTCTAATGACTAAGGTATAGGTAATTACCTACAATGAATTAATATATTTTTATATTTGAAATAAAGTTCACAATTAAGATTTTGTCATAATAAAGTGGTAATTAAAAAGAAAATAAGTCTAAAATACACCAAAACAAAAAGTTTGTGTACATAATATCGATAGAATCAATTTATTTTCTTACAACATTTATACATATAAATGACGATAGTATAAGTATTAAAAATAATATAATGTTCATAAAATTGTAAATATAATTAGGTAGTTACATATGATATTAAAAACTTTATAAATAATCTTAACCACACTAAAAACCTTTTTGTTCGACGTAAGAACATAATATTATAACGTAAAACATATCGTAACATAATATATCTTATATTTATTGACTTACTAATTTTTTTCTTATTAAGTATATTGACTGTTTTTTAATGATTTGCCGTTTTAGGTAGTTCCTCCACAACATTTTTTGAATTAGGTTTTTTTTTACATTTGCGTTTACTAAGCAATGTAATGTAATTGTGTCAATGTAAAAAAATAAAATATATTTTTTAGTGTGGTCTCAAATATACATTTTATTGCCCACCGTATAATCGTCATTTATTTATGCGTGGTAATAGTCTGTTGTACACTTATTAACGTTATTTGAGACGGTTGCCAACGTTAAAAAAAGAAATATGTAGGTAAGCAATTATAAGCTTCATAATTTGGCTCGTTATAATGTAAGTCTGGGTGCAAGAAATAATGTACCTTGGTCTGATCAAAGCAGGAAAAGGGACTGGTTAGCTTTCAGTTAGTCAGAAAGAGCGTGATACTCTCTTTCGTCTTACCCCAGGATGGGAGAAGTTAGGAGATGATTTTTTACCATTAAAAATAATAATACTTATTATCCAGGTACGAAAATAAAATTGAATGTTGCAATGTTAATTTATGTCTTAATATAATATTGCAAGTAGATGAATTGTCAAAAAATTAAAATAATTTGCTGTCTATTTTTTTGTCCTAAAAATTTGACAATTTTTTTTCATAACTTCTCTATCATCCTTTCAGGTATCGTAATAAGTTTTATTTTGTTTTGCAATACAACAATATTGTTCATTTTTATAATAGCTACATAATATATGATCATTTCTCTGTGATTGTAAAAATATTACTTAGTAAATAAGTGTGTCAAAAAAATGTCTTGACAATGTAAAAATTAAGTTAAATACCTACCTAATTTAGTTTTAAATAATTGTTGTCTTTAGATAAGTATTTTTTGTACAGAAAAAAAAACAATACCTAATTTAAAATATTAAAAAAAAATATTGAACTACGAATATGTATTTGGTTTTTTTATTTTCTTTTACCACGTAGGTTAGCCTTTGCTCAACACTGAACACTTATAGCCTGATGGTGATGATAGGAACATAAGAAAAAAAACCGAGGCACAGAGCGTATCGGGCTTATTTTTTTTTTTTTTTTTTTTTTTTTTAATCCTCATGGAGACCCACCGCCCTCGGGGTAAGGGCGAAGGGTACTGTCAGACTCTTACTGACTAAAAACCAACCGGGTGTTCCTCCAATAACCCATGTGTCGGAGGGGCGGGTATCGCCGAAGCATTCGTCGCAACCCCCCGACGGGAGAGCGTATCGGGCTACCCTAATACGTAGCTACTAAGTATGTTCACTTCAGAGTTATTGTAAATCTTAAAACCACAATTCAAATAAGAAGCAATTTTTGTACAGTGCCATCTCTTAGGGAATTAAGTTACTAATTTACAAAAACTAGACAGGTTGGTAATTTTGGGTTCCGTAAACCGTTTTTAATATATTTTTTTATTTGAAAGAAGTTACGTTCAACGTGCATACCCATCTATACTAATATTATAAATGTGAAAGTAACTCTGTCTGTCTGTCTTTTCTTCAAGCCTAAACTACTGAACCTATTTGTGTGAAATTTGGTACAGACATTATTTGGAACTCGAAAAAGGACAAAGGATAGTTTTTAAACCAAAAATCTACAGGAAGTCACTATTCCACGCGAACTAAGTCGCCGGCAAAATCTAGTTATAAATATAGAACCAAAGTTAAAAAAATGATTGCATAAACAGTTAAATTACAAAATTAATCCCGATATTTTTTGTACAATATTTCAAAAACGGTTCAACCTATCGAGTTCAAAATAATTTTTCTAGAAAGAATGAATGAAATTAACGACAGAAAACGCACATTATTTTTTCTAAAGGGTGATAGGTAACCTTTTTAGCTTTTTTTTAAAGAAACATTAGGATTATTTTATGTGTTTTGGGTGCGTTTATAAACATACAATGTCATACTACTAACCAACCATACCTACACAATACACTATAAGACCACAACCGGACCCGGAACAACAATTTGTAGATTACACAAAGAATTGTTCCGTGCGGGAATGGGACTCTCTATACCTACCTATAATAATAAAACATTACCTAACTCCAATTCAAAAGCTAAAGTGTTCCTTAAGGAAAGATCTAGAAAAAATCTAGAATTCAGATCACAAGCGTATAGACTATAATAGGGAGCCAGTTCTGAGAAACTGCAACACAATGCTACATCCTGCATCTTCATATCCTCATCCTGTCATCCTAGGGAGACTGCTGACATTGTCATCCACCTACCAACCATTTATGCACCCACTACCACCTCAATACAAACAGCATAAGGTCTAAATTTACATGCTTGAAGTGAGAATCTATATTTGTGGAGACCCCGTTTCGAAGTTTTGTCGCTAAATGGATTGAGGACACGATCTAGATTTGAGTCTTGGTCTGGATTTGATCTGAAGTACCTAGGACGATACTAGTTAATTTTACATGTTATTTCGTTCAATACAATAACAGGGTATTTTAGTATATTAAAAGATATGTACTGTCTCTACTAAGAGGAAAGTCGCCAAAATGGAATAAAATCATTATAAATTCGCGAAAATCATCAGTATTCCGTATTTGGTTATTTTCCTCTCAACCTCAAATCATTACTCTATATAGAGTAATGACTTGCTTAAAATAGATTTGCTCAAATCATTACTCTTTTATACTATACTTTACTTATTACGATTACTTTTTTATACTATACATCACTCATCGGGTACAGTTTTTTAAGACACATATTTCTAAAATTATTTTGAGATAAGTAGGTACCTACCTACCTAGGTACAATCAAGTGCGCCAATTTCAAAAATTATTGGTTGTGTAGCTACCGATGAAATTGATTACAGTAGATATTATAACTTGTCAATTGAGATAAGAGCTAATGATTTTGATGGTGATATTTTTTTAAAACAAGCCATTTCTAACTGGATGTTAGTATACATAGTTAGTCGAACTTCATGATGGAAAATCTTGGGATATTTTTTACAGGTTATAATAGCATACAATACAGTTTCAGCAAATGTCATTTGAATCTAAACTGGATGAGCCAAGCTGGTCGATAAATTGAGATAACTATCATGTCGCATTAGATACGGATAACGGATAGGATGAATTCACACGACAGATTTACTTACAGATATTTTATTTACGACTAGCTACTCTCACGCGGTTTTACCCGCTGCTCGGCTTCATTTGATCGTAGCGTGATGTTTTATAGCTTATAGCACTCAAGAACATTTTAGCTATGTATCAGTGAAACAATTTTAGCAATCCGAGCAGCAGT